CTCTCCCTCTCTCTCTCTCTCTCTCTCTCTCTCTCTCTTTCTCTCTCTATCTCTCTTCTCCTCTATCTTTCTCGCTCTTCTCCACGCGACCCTGACCGCGGCTCCCCAGACGCCATACACCACGTCGCGGGGGACAAAAGAATAAATCCTGATTAATCTCCCGGTCGCGCTTCGAAAGCCGCCGAGGGTGCTCTCGCTCGCTCGTGCGCGCGCGTGCTCTTGCTTGCTTCATCGTTACCGCCGGAATTACGCTTCACTCGGCGCAACGAGTTCTACGTGTCCTTGCGCGGCTGAAAAATTAATGAGCGCCCGGCCGCTTGGATTTAGTGGCTGGCGACTGCGGTGCTTCGTAAAAATAATTTCGTAACGTTAACGTGCGACGTGGCGCTACTGCTAAATGACATCTCGCTGAAACGAGGACATTTCTTAATAGTTTCCCTCTCTAACCAAACGTAAGAAGCAGACATTTTATAAATTCTTAGGAAGGAGAAGCGATATTTCCTAAATTATTTACGCAACAAATTTTATATTTCTTACTTCTTGGAACCTTACCCTTGTGTATTCCCGTGTACTTGTCCTTGAGAACGGTGAATTCGTAAATTTTGCCGAACTCCTCAAACATAGGACGAAGTGCGTCTTCCTCGAGATGACGTGGTATTTGTCCGACAAAGAGTTTGATGGCTCCTTCGCCGTTGCTGGACGACGGCGACGTCGACACGGGTATCAGCATTTCTTGGCTCAAGCGAGATGAAGTTTCACGGAGCTAAGTCTCGCTATCACCTTTCCCCTCACAAATTTTGCCTTTCACGCACCCGCACTATGCACTTTTCTCTTTTTCCCACTGCCTTCAAAGACAGACACTAATCATCACATGGCCTTCAGACGACGATGGCGCTCGTTGATTACTTATCGCCACGCGTATAAAGCACGACCGCGACGGAGTCAGAGACTACTTGACACGTGAAGAGAGGGTAAAGCAGGGAGGGTAAAGGGGAAAAACTAGCCGTCACAGAGGTAACTCGTTAACTCTCGTCTTCGAGGGAGTAGAAGGTTGTCGTGAAACGAAGGCGTTATTCGCCGAAAACGGCAGTCACGAAGCAACGAGGAGCTAACGGGTGGTTGGGAGGGTGGTTTTAATCAGGAGCTCGATAAAAAATACACGATAACGTAATCTTTGTAGGAACGAAAAACAGAGCGAGACGTGAGTGGGCGGGGGACAACGAGAGAAGGAAAGAAGGATACAGAAACGAGATAAAACCACCGTAAAGAGGGTGGAGAATGGCTAATGCGGATGGCAAAGAAGAAAGCAAATGTTTAACAAGAACGAGAGAGGGAAAAACGAGGGAGATAGAGAATAGGAGGAAAAGCCGACGGAAGAAAGTCCGACACAATAATGCGCACGCAACGATTAATGAATTTTGCAACACGGCACAAGAGATAGTCGACAACTATTAAAGATACACTCGTATGCATTAGAGACGTGATGATACGAGATTGGAAGCCCACTATGAATGCCCACACGGAATAAAAAGCACGTAGATAAAATCGAATTAAGCCATTATCGACAGTACCTTCATTACGTTACGATATCATGGAATCAAGCGACATGCAGGGTGATCGTGTATGTGTGCTAACATATACGCATTTGTCTACAGCTGATCGGAGCTTATAGATAGACAATTTCACGCGCATGTGCGTGAATACCACGCGGTGCATTCAACGAATACAGTATCGATATCACTCGACATATCACTTCTAACAGTAACAAAAGATTTTTCCTATTCGATGTCACAAGATTTGTAATATTTCCAATTCAAATTTGCGCAAAATAATTCCGATAACAAATTGATCCGACCACAAGATTGATCAGAAGCACGATGATCACGAAACCACACTTTTACAACATAGATATTTTTATGTGTTTCTTTAGATGCGACGACAAAGTATCTCGCTATCCGCCACTGTGGAATTCAGTGATATCAGCCAAACACGCAGTGATTTTATCACGAAATTCAGTAGAGCAAGAGAGCGATAACTCGTAGTGCGACTCCCACGCGTATAGTTGTCCGAGCGCTTCCCCTTTAATTCTTAATTTCGCATACGTGGTTGATCTAGTTTCCGAGACCCAGTTTATCACGTCGAATATCTCTGCCCGGTGGCAGTTGCGCAGATTACTTCCGTCGCGTTTGCCGATAGTTCACAGTGGCGACTGTGACGATCAGTCGTTCTACTTAGACAATATCCTAATCTAAAACGATCACAAGTACGGCACATTCACGATCACGAGAGAATAGAAACTACGACACGCTGCACGAGACACGAGACAACACTGATGGTTGAACGACCCTCGGCCCGATCGGCACCGTGCGCCCTGACGCCACCGTCCACGGGGAAATTACGCACACATACACACGGCCATCCCACCCATCTTGTCCTGCGTTGCCACCCCTACGACGACGTCACCCCATCTCGATGTATACGAGGGGGCACATTTCCCCTTTTGCCGAGACCTTGCCGAGCGAGGCGAGGGCGTCTTTGCTCCCTCTTATTAGCCTACCCACCATCCCCAACAGCATGTGCACCATCCATTTTCACGGACCGCCCTTAATCTCTGATGCCCCATTCACCCGAATTCGCACTGAAATTGGATTCTGGCAAAACGGATTTTCTAATCATGGTGATCGATCCGGCGATCATCGAGCAAGATACTATCGGAAATGAAAGATGGGAAACGGTTCTAAAAGAGATAAGAAGGGTATAATAAAATTTAGGGATTACGTGTAATTGCAAAGTCAAAAAGCTCACTTTAAAAAATACGTAAAAACGTTAAAGCGAATTATTAAATTTTAACAAGAATATAAGAACTTAATACATCGTTGTATCTTTTCCTAAAAAATTGTAAGAATTACCCAAAGAAAAGGTTGCTTCGATTTAAAGAAATTTTTTTTGCTATATGATTAAAGACAAAATTTCATTAATTTGCGAAAAAATTTCTTTAATTTAAACATAATTTTTTTAATCAAATAAATTTTATTTGATTTTAAAAAATAATTATGTTTGAATCAAAGAAATTTTTTCACAAATCAATTTTTTCTTTAATCATATAGCAAAGAAATCTTTTCTCTGGGTGTATAATTATTAGGAAGCTGAAGCAATATTGTTTGAAATTCTGTTAATGTAACTTCAACAGAAGTTTCATTATATATATTATATATCAAATGCAATTTTAGAAAAAGATATAATGACGTATTAAAAGTAACATATGCTGATCAATGAAATATAGAAAATAAATCGTACCGGATCTCTTTCTAAGTCTTCACGTTCGATAAGCATATATCACAGCAATCGGCGTTACGCCGCTTTTATGGACGTTGCTTTTGCTATATAACATTGGAAAGGGTACCTGGCATAATAGTCCCCTGTCTTACAGGGGTTGGTGAGCTGAGTCATCGCCTCGTACGATACTCGATCGCGTCGTACTAAACCGACCCTCTGGTAAGCACGCACACTAGAACAAGTGCGTATAAACGTGCACGCCTCATTAATGACTTTCCCTCGCGCGCACGCGCGCGTGTGTATGGGTGTATGTATGGACGAGATCCATTTCTGCACGCAAGAGCCTTATATGTACATGCGGAAACGAAATCCGCGACTCTATTCGCCGTGTTATAAAATCGAAAACATTCAACCGAATACAAAGCTATGCGACGGTCTATTTATTCGAGTCTCTGAAACGTTGCGCCGCGGGAACACGCGTGTACGGCTGGCTTTTTTCGCGACAAGCTTTTTCGTTCCATTTCCTACGTTACAATATTCAGCCTCGTTGAAACGACAACTACCAACCAACCGGGCTGATATCTATAAATGCGAACATCCGCGATGCAAAACGCCTGCATTTAAACATCACGGTCCGCGCTGCAACGGGGCGCTGCCGCCATTGTTGCCAGGAATTTGGTGTCTGCATGTATACGCATGAGAAGTAACATCGGGCGCACGTATCTCCAAATTTAGTTAGAACATATGTGCAGGCTTCACGCTTATCGATCCTGTTCTTCTCTAAGGAGAAAACGAGGGTAAGCGAGGTTAATGCAAGTTCAGAGACAGAAAGAAAACATCGTTTCCCATCTCTCGGAAAAAAATGCGATCAGTACAATAGTTTAGCCAAGCATTACGTTCATCCAACCGATGAAGTAGCTCTTTGTTTCTTTCTGTTTGAAAAGCTACCTTGCTTGCTCATCGAAGCTGAAATATCGTCGCGAGAGTGAATCGAGATGAAGAACCGCGAAACAAACACCTTTCCGCGAATGATTTTAATCCTCTTAACATTTGTTTGAAGCGCTGAGGATAATAATATAGATCTATTGTATACAAAACGGATATAATATTTTAAAACTGCAATAATTCTTATAAAAACTTAATAAAATCTTGTACAAGCATGTTTATTACTGCAAAACAAGTTCTAGTGACTATTTTCAGTTGGAATAGTAGCTTTTGTCGTAAATATTTATTTCAAATTATGAATATTTATTAAATTTTGAATTTATCAAATTTTGAATTTTGATGCATTAAATAACTAGGACAATAGGAAGTTTAAAAAATCCTGATTGACAGATTTATTATATATGCTAACTCAGTTTTGCTTTTCTTCATAATATATGCTTCTATATCATTGTTTTATTTCATTCAATTTTAAAGCTTCATGACAATATATTATTAATGCGCAATGTAATTCTGCTCCGCGACTCACTATATTTTCATGAAAAATTTGACGCAGTTTGGAAAGCTTTCCGAGATTTCGCTGACATCGAGACAAGCTTGACTGTAACGTCAATCTCGAAATATTGGGGGATCAATGACGTGTCGCTCGATGTAACATGCAGCGACTTCGCCTGTAAATCTTATTGATTTATATTTTTCGATATAATGAAACCATGGCGAAAAAGGTGCGAAGAATGTTCGACATCGACAACGCTCAACGTACACGCGATAAACTCGACGACGTCGACGTTGATTTATAGTAGCGAGGAAATTGCCCGAAAGTGTACGAATTTCTCACCGAACGGCGGAGATGCGAAATGTGATCTGCAAAAAGTGCGCTATGGTCCGTAGATAATGTTACGATTAGGACAAAAAGTGCGAGCAGGATCATCGGTACTTTTATACATGGTGTCTCAAAATTGCCAAATCTTTACTTGCGAAAAAATCTTTTCTTCATCAAATTCCAGAAAATTTTCATAGATTGCACGCCACTCTGTTTCGCAACTTTCCATATCAAGTTGCAAATATATCTCAATATCTAAACTTCAATTTAAATTTTGTTAATATTTAAAAATGAAGAGCGACGTATCTTACAATCTGTGTGTTTCTAACATTAAAAATTAATCTATGAAATTAAATAATTCAGATTTTTAGTAACTCAATAGTTAAAAAATGATGACGTTTGTGTTAAAAATTAAAATAAATTTCCAAGTAAGTAAAAATATCACATACGAAAGAAATTGTTTGAAAGCTAGACACCGTGTATACAGAAAAGCGTTTTATTGGTTTTACGCAAACCGATACACACACGAATCGAGCAATGCGAAAGAGAACTAACAGTTTCCAGAGCTGGGAGATGGAACGCAGCCGTTTTTCAGAGAAAAGTACTCTCGCCGGAGAATTAATCACGGCGTTCTCCTCGTATTGGGAGTATGTATATCTGACGTTCTCGGACCGTCAGAGGCAACGTTTTCGGTAGCTCATGCAGTGGAATTACGGACTTAGTCCACGGTACGTTTTTTCACCGCCCGATATACGCCGAAAGCGAGTTAAGTCACGCATGATTTA